CCAATTGTTGGTATGTCGTCTTCTACGAGATGCCACAACTCTTTGCTTCGTAGAAAGTTTTCCATCGTCATGGACCAGAAGTCATAGTGGCCATCGAACCTTGGAATGGCCGGTTGCACAAACTTTTCTGATGTAGACATCCTTCACACTTCACGTTGCACTCACACCGGATGTTTACTCTTCTCACACCTCACACCGGATATTTACTTTTCTCTCACTCACACCTCACGCTTTGTACCAGGTCCCTTGTGGAGCTCTGATACCAATTATAAATACTATAGATATAACGAAGAGAGTATTGAAGAAAAAAAACTGTATTTATCCAGATGAACGAGAGTGGCTTATATAAGCCTATAAAACATAACAGCATGCGTTTACGTGGTTTGGTGGTCCCACGTTGCATGGTAACTGACACCGAAAATAAAGGACAACAAATAACAAAAGAAACTGGTTCTAGAAAACCAAACCAGGACTTATTCAACTACTGACAACGGCTAATTATAATGGAACATTCCCTCCCTTAAGCTAGATGCATGTGCAGCTAGCTTATTTCAGCAACTTTCATTACTCCAAGCATGTCACGCAGCTTTTGAAATCTCTCAAGTTTTAGTGGTTTTGTCATTATGTCTGCAACTTGGTCCTCAGATTTGCAATGACTTAATCTCACAATTTCATCCTTCACCAAATCTCTGAGAAAGTGGAATCTTACTGCAATATGTTTGCTTCTCCCGTAAAAGACTGGATTCTTGGATAATTGGATGGCAGAGTTATTATCACATAGTATTACTGTGCTGGTGGCTTTCTTCTCTTCTTCTCCAAGCTGATCTAGAATTCTTCTAACCCAAATACATTGGCAAGCACAGGATGCCGCAGCAATATACTCTGCCTCAGTGGTAGATAAGCTTACAATAGGTTGTTTCTTGGAGGCCCATGACACAGCTCCAGATCCAATCTTCAGTACTAAGCAAGGATCTCTCTACATGATTGCAGATGAGGATATGATATCAGTTGCAGAAGTTGGCAACAATTCCTCCTTATGGCATCAGAGGCTTGGGCATATGAGTGAGAAAGGAATGAAGCTCATGATATCAAAAGGTAAAATACCTAACGTGAAGCATGTTGACGTTGGACCTTGTGAACATTGTATCTTTGGAAAGCAAAAAAAGGTTAGCTTCTCCAAAACAAGTAAGTCGTCTAAAGTTGAAAGACTAGAACTAGTGCATACAGATGTTTGGGGGCCAGCTTCAGTGAAATCCCTTGGAGGTTCACAATATTATGTAACCTTCATTGATGACTCTACAAGAAAGGTATGGGTTTATTTTCTTAAAAATAAATCTGATGTGTTTTCTGTGTTTAAAAGGTGGAAAAAGGAGGTTGAGACTCAAACAGGTTTAAAGGTCAAATGTTTGAAGTCTGATAATGGTGGAGAATATGACAGTAGTCAATTCAAGGAGTTTTGTTCAGAGAATGGGATCAGAATGATCAAGACAGTTCCAGGAACACCAGAACAAAACGGTGTGGCAGAAAGAATGAACAGAACCTTGAATGAGAGAGCAAGATGTATGAGAATCCAGATCAGGATTACCCAAGGTATTTTGGGCAGATGCAATAAGCACAACGACCTATCTCATAAACGAGAGGACCATCAGTTCCTTTAGACTATAAGTTACCCGAAGAAGTATGGTCTGGAAAAGAGGTAAATCTTTCACATCTCGAAAGTTTTTGGTTGTGCTTCATATGTTATGTTAGACTCTAATAGTAGAGATAAATTGGACCCTAAGGCAAAACGTTGTTATTTCATTGGTTATGGATCTGACATGTTTGGCTACAGGTTTTGGGATGACCAAAACAAGAAAATTATCGAAGTAGAAATGTTACTTTTAATGAAAACATGTTCTATAGAGACAGGATTGCACAATCTGCAAATGTAAATAAACGACTAGAGCAAGTATCATTAGAAGAAATTTCAGAAAGTGATGTAGTCAACCGAAGGCGAGAATATACAAGTAGAGCCTATGTCGAGCCTGAGACAGAACTCGAACAAATAGTAGAGTCAGCAACTCCTGAAATCTTGGTTAGAAGATCTAGCAGAACAATTGTAGCACCACAAAGGTATTCCCCTTCATTGCATTATTTGTTGTTGACTCGATGCTTGGTGAGCCAGAGCATTTGCTCGAGGCTATGCAGGGAGATGAATCTATTAAGTGGGAGCTAGCAATGGAAGATGAGATAAAGTCCCTTCAGAAGAATAAACATGGTCTTTAACCAAGCTACCAGAAGGAAAGAAAGTTTTGCAAAACAGGTGGGTCTATAGGTTGAAAGAAGAACCGGATGGCGGCAAAAGATATAAGGCTAGACTCGTAGTGAAAGGGTTCCAACAAAGACAAGGAATTGACTTCACAGAAATTTTCTCTCCTGTTGTCAAGATGACTACCATCAGAGTTATCTTGAGTATAGTAGCTGCAGAAAATCTTCATTTGGAGCGGTTAGATGTCAAAACTGCATTCTTACATGGGGATCTTGAAGAGGAAATTTTTATGACACAGCCAAAAGGTTTTGAAGTACAAGGCGGAGAAAATCTTGTATGCAAGCTTCATAAAAGTTTGTACGGATTAAAACAAGCGCCGAGACAATGGTACAAGAAGTTTAATGAGTTTATGAGAAACTCGGGATTTCGCGAGATGTGAAGAAGATCACTGTTGTTATGTGAAGAAATATGTTGATAGTTATATCATTCTTGCCTTATATGTTGACGACATGTTGATTGTTGGAGCTAATATGGCAGAAATTGACAAGTTGAAGAAACAATTGTCAGAGAGCTTTGAAATGAAGGATCTTGGTCCAGCCAAGCAAATTCTTGGTATGAGAATCTCCGAGATAGAGATAAAGGTATTTTGAACTTATCTCAAGAAAAATATATAGAAAAATTGCTTAGCAGATTCAATGTTGGGAATGCTAAAACCAGGAATACACCTTTGGGAACTCACTTAAAGTTTTCAAAGAGGCAATCTTCTCAAACGAAGAAGAAGAAAGTCACATGTCTAAAGTACCATATGCATCTGCAGTAGGAAGCTTGATGTATGCTATGGTTTGCACCGGACCGGACATAGCACATGCAGTGGGAGTTGTGAGCGGATTTCTATCAAATCCCGGAAAGGAGCATTGGGAAGGAGTGAAGTGGATATTCGAGATATTTGAAAGGCACTTCAAAGATGCATTTGTCTTTCAAGAGAAGTAATCTCATTTTACAGGGATTTTCCGATGCGAGACTTGGGAGGTGATCTTGACGGTAGAAAGAGCACAACGAGGTTATATTTTTACATTGGGTGGTACAACTATCAGTTGGAAGTCTAAACTTCAAGGAAGGGTCTCTCTCTCAACCACTGAAGCAGAGTATGTAGCTATCTCAGAAGCAGCGAAGGAGATGATATGGTTGAAGAACCTTCTAAAAGAATTAGGAAGAGAACAAGATGGTTCTCCGTTGTTTAGTGACAGATCAAAGTGCTATTTGTCTTGCTAAAAATCCAATCCTTCATTCCAGATGTAAGCACATTGAATTGAAGTATCATTTTATCGAAACCCGATAAATGATGGAGACTTGAGTTTGTTGAAGATTCCAGGTGCGAGAGAATCCAGCTGATATGTTGACCAAGACTGTTACAACAACTAAGTTGAGGCTTTGCATTGCCTCAACTGGCCTTCGAGCAAACTGATGATGAAGGCACTACACTAGGTGGTAACGTAAATCAAACTCCAAGTGGGAGAATTGTTAGTATTATGGTGTTTGATTTAGTCCCACATCGATTAGGATTGTGAGATGAGGTTCTCTATTTTGTTATATAAGCAACCCTATGTAAAGTTTGAGACACACACAGAAATAAAAAAATACTTCCTAGTGTAGTCGTGGACGTAGGCATACATATTTTAGCCGAACCACGTTAAAATTCTTGTGTCGTTTATTTTTCTCTCCTTTATTCTTTCCTTTATTATTGTCTTGTTCCTAACAACAAGTACCTATAAAAAATTATTATCTTTTTAAGAGATTTACATTTGTTATGTGTAAAGATATAATAGAAAAAATGATGAGTTTAAAAATAAGAATGGTAAAACCCACAATATGGTAGATGATAATGTGATTATGAAAAATTTTCAGACTCTTTACTCACCTATCATAGTTATGTGTTCCTCCTGTTATTTGCACATTATTATATATATTGATCTATAAAGCTTATCAACATCCATTTTATCTAATACAAAATGAAGATTATTAATCTCTTTATACTAATCCAAATTTTATTCATAGTCCAATTATGCTATGCGAACAATAAAAACCAATTAAAAATGCCTATCATAACATGCATCATGAAATGGATTATTCAAATCCAAATAAGCAAAAACAATATTCATTTTGTGATAATAAAATTATAATCATAATAATTATCCTATTAGACAATAATTATATAATACATTTCACATTTAATATTAATTTATTTCATAAACAGAACCATCTTGTATGTAACACGACTTGGAAAAAAAATCAAGACCCATACCTACCACGATTTTTTATAACAGGTCCTACTACATAACATGACTTATCCATATAAGTAATTTTTTAGAAAATTTGCACCAAATTGATAACTTTAAAAGAAATTACACAGGATAATTTTGCCCTAGAATTGTGTAAGTTATAGTGAGGTAAATGAGATAAATAAATGAAGCAATGTTTTAATGTCTTTTATTAGTTTTCCGAGCTATGAATCACCAAACATAAGTTAAAATTTATTCTATGCAATTGCATGATGGAATCAAATGAAACATTTTGACAATGTTAATCTAAATAACACGTAATGATCTTGGAAAATATAATTATAATAAATTAAATACACAATTTTACGTATAGTACTATCCATGTGGGCAAGTTGGACCTTAAATTACAGAAGAAGAAGAAGAAGAAGGAAGAAGAAGAAAAGAGAGGGTCACATCAGACGTTGGATCTTGCATCAGAGAAGAAAAGGATGACGTTGAAGCATGGTGGCCGTCCATCTCTGATTGGGATCCTTCGAGAAACACTTGCTCAAGAAATCTTGGCAACAGAGACTGAGCCAAGAAGGTATCGGCGGTGATTGTTTAGGGAATGCGAGTATGAACATTAAGTGGCGTGTGGAAGAAATGTGGTGCCATGCAGGTAACCCTGTCATCATCTCGATGATTATGCACCCAAGAGACCATATATCCAACGCTGTTTCAATTTCGCCCCTCACTGATTCTGGCGACATGTAAAAGGGTGAACCTCTGAACTTCATCTCCCGACTCTCACCGTCGCATTTATCTTCTTTGGTCTTGGCAAGTCCGAAATCAGCAATCTTGAGTTGAAACTCCACACCTTCTTCAAGTGGGGGAAAAAGAAGGAGGTTGTCTGGCTTCAGATCACAATGAACGACCCCAGCTTTATGGATGAGAGAGAGGCCTTTGAGAATCATGCGTGTGGAGACTATGACTTGGCTCTCCGAGAATGGTTTCCTTCTGATCAAGTCTCCAAGACAACCGTAAGGGGCCAACTCCATGAGAAGATGGCACACAGCACAACCATTCTCCTCGTTCGTTATGCTCCACATGCATTCAACAATTTCTTTACTCCCAGAGAACGATTCCAATATGCCTCCTTCTTTCTGCAACGAATGTAATCCATGAGGCTTTGAACTCTTCATGGCTATCACCATTCTTTTTCCTTCTTCTGGGATTCTAAGCTCGGCTAGGTACACTATGCTGTAGGATCCCTCTCCCAGTATCCTCAACCTCTCCCATTCAATCATCACCATTCTCTGATGTTCGTTTCTTCTACCCCTCTCCGATCAAGAACTGATGGAAGGGCGCATATTTATATAAATTTCTTGATAAGATTTCAATTCCATACTTTTACTCTGAAATCATATATAGAGTATATATGTGATCAAGTAAGATACGATGATATCTGTAAAAAGATTAATTATTTGGTATTTTCACAGCTGGAACTAATTAATATTCATTCTGTTAGAATCACATATCCCACAGATACAGTTAGATAAGTTGGATATATTTTATAAATTTCATGGGTGAATCTTCTTCACAAGTATATAATATAAGAGAGCCATTTTTTAAAGATATGAAATTTTGAATCGCAATTTGAATCGGTATATTTTACAAGATTTTTTATCTTTTAATAGATTTAATCTTTCTCTCTTTTATCTTCAAGGAAACATTATTTTTTTTAAAGATACACAGTTATCTTTTCATCTTGATGAAATTTGAAAAAGATATATCTATTTACAGAGAGTGGGGAAATTAAAATTCAAAAGGACTTAACTCTTTTGAAAAAAAAAACAAAGGATCTTTTATCTAAAAGATAAATTTAAAATTAGATTAATCTGAATTTACGTAGACAAATACACTAAAATGTTAATTATTTGAAATGTCAAAGATTTTTTTATATAGGTAGGCATGTATTTATATATTTTATATTATATATATATATATATATATATATATATATTAAACTTATGATAAAATATTAAATATGAACAGTATTTTAATTATAAATATTTAAATAAAAATAACGTAATTATTTTATGTTATTATGAATAATAATAATAAATTATTTTAATAGTTAATGTAAATAAAAAATAATAATAAAACATTAGTATGTTTATTTTATGGTTGATATCTATTTATTTAAATTTAATATATATTTTTGATATCTATTTATTTAAATTTAATATATATTTTTTATTCTTATTTTCTTTTTTATCTTTGTTTGAAATTATTATAATTCTCGATAACTTTTTTTATTAATTTCATTATCTTACGATTATATTTTTTATTTACAATGACAATAATTTATTTAGTTCCTACTATATTGAAATTTACTTTATTAATCTCATCTTATTTGTTTTTAATTTACTTTATTAATCTCATCTTATTTGTTTTTCATCGATAAGATGTAATATAAAGAATATATTTTCTTCTTAAGAACACCTTTTTTTCTTATTTTTCTTTATTTTATTATCTTTCAATAAAGATAAATTCATGACATGTTTAAATTCTTTCAGTTCTTCTTCAACTCAATCTTAAGTTTCTCAATTTTAACATTTATCAGGTTTAAATGCATAATAGATTTTTACTGCTCTTCATCTTTAATATTATGTTGAGTTGGTTAATCTAATAATTAACATTTTAGTGTATTTGCCTACGTAAATTTAAATTGATCTAATTTTAAATTTATCTTTTATCTAAAAAATCTATTATGCATAGATCTTTATTTAACCTAAGTTGAGTTCTTTTAAATTTTAATTTTTCCGATATATATATTCACATATAACTAAAAAATTAAAATTCAAAAAGAAAAGGACTCAACTTTAAAAAAAAAATACTTGTTAATAAAGATTCATATACAAATCTTTTAGTTAAAATTTAGCAAATTCAATGAAGTCTTATACATCAAGTTTTATATTATATGTTTTTAATTCTAGGATTGTTGAGATTAACTTATTTTAAGAATAAGAATAAAATACTTAATCTAATGATTAAAATAAGTAATTGTTTTATACTATTGAATTATAAAAAAAATAATTACAATATCCTCGACTCTTTTTTTTAATAAATAAATTGCAAGAAAAATCTAGTGTAAGTGGAGGAGCTAAGAGTATGTAACCTAACAATTAGCAGTCAAATAAAGTTCTTATGTAATTAATTGGAAGTCACCGTTCATTACTAATATATATATATATATATATATATATATATATATAGCATGTTCAAAAGAGAAATATAAGAGAAATTTTAGGATTTTTTAGGAATATATTTTTATATATAAAATATATTTTATATGGGATATATATAATAAAAGACAATAAAATAATATTTTTTTAATAAATCTTTTTATTTTATTTTAAATAAATATTTTTATTTTACTTTAAATAAATAAATAAATAATTTAATATTATATCAATACGAGCTTATATATGTAGAAGAATACAATAAAATATTTATTAATATAAATCTTAATTGTTACACCAATAAACTCCTCATAATGTTAACTTATTTATAAATAAATTAATATCAATTATTTAATAATAAATGTATATATATATATATATATATATATATATTTACATTAAAATAATTTATTCTAATTAATTAAACTAGCAATTTCATTGATAATTTATAAAATAAAAAATATATAAGAGCTCAACATAAAGTAATGATCCTTAAAGGAAAGAGGATTCTGTAGTGGTTGACCTTCGTATATATAACTCATCGATTTATAGACAAGTATGCTATTTTGAAATTGTTGAAGTCATGGTGAGATAAATCACATACATATTAAATTTATAGAGCCACGTAAGACTCAAGTCACAATTTATTCTATGTAACTACATCATGGTAAATCATTAAACTTAGTTTCAATTATGATTTTTTTAGTTGCATAGCTTTATTTAAATTTTGGTTGAGTGATTAAGATAATAAAAATGAAATTGTTTGATCATGCTTACCTAATTATTAATTTATTTTAATTGCTTAAATAACATAACAATCTTCTTTATTATACTAACTCTAACTCCTGTGAATTGAATTTTTTAAAATAAATTTATATTTAACTGATAATAGGAATGTGATTAAGGATGAAAAATAGAACAAGTGATACTTGAGCCCTATTCTACCTAACCTAGTGGATCAAAGGTAAAATGGAATATTCTCTAAGTTTTTCTTGTGTTGTATTAAAAAATAAACACTATTTACGTTATGCAATAATATTTTCATTTAAATCATGAATACTAAAAAATTAAGTTTTAATTATTAATTAAATTGAGTAATTTAATATATGAAATATAATTATCATCTCAATTTATTAAATAGAAAATATATTAATTAGTTAATAGATTAAGAAAATATTTAAATAATTAAGTTTATTTTTATAAAAAATATATAGATATAATAAGTTTTATTTTATATAACAAACTAATAAATTAAGATTTATAATTTCTTTTAAGACTCGTTTTATTTTTTTTAAATGAGACGAATTAAAAATAAGATAAATTAATTTATTTTACTCTTCTAAAAGATTAAAAAAAAATGTTTTGACTTAACTGACTCTATGAATAAATTTAAAAAAATGTCAACTCTTTTAAATCAAATATTTTTTATCTTGGTAAAAATTAAAGAAAATTTTAAAATTTTCATATAAAAATAAATCATGAAAAATAATAATTTAAAAAAATATAATTTAAAATAAAAAACTGATATCTATTTATATTTATTTATTGGACATCAATCATTTTCTTAACGTTGATCATAAAATTTGATGTAGACTTTATCTCTTTCTGTATCTCATAATTTTTAATGTTTAGTGTTAGTATCATATTTATTTTCACCGCATAATTCAAATCTCAAGAGTTATCATTTTTAACAACATCTAATTATGTTTTATCTATTGGATTCCCCAAACCGAAGTAATTAATTTATATAGTAAAGTTTCAATATTCGACGAAAAATTTCCTGCACAACCTCAACACTAGGTGACATCATTTATAGGAAAAATTCAATAATTCATGTTCATAACAATCTACACAAGCATATAATTACAATTTGTCATGTTATGTTGGTCAGAACTACGTGGAATAGCTTTGTTGTAACAATCTAAATTTGATTGATCCTTGAACTGGTTTTCTTTTGTTTTCCCAAAATCCACTTTGCCCACGGAACACAACATTGTACACTCCAAACGTCACATGATTCACATCTACTTCGGATTCAGCTTTCCCAGTAGCTTGGGTACCTTGCAGTGCAATAGTAACAAAAACCATTTTTTATTTTCATTTCTTATATTAAAAAATATAACAAATATGATAAATCTTAGGTTTTAAAGGTATTCCTAGAACAAATTCAATACTTTTATTGAAACAACATAATAAGTGAAGAATTAACCTTAATACTGATTTTGAACACAATTGAGAGATAATAGTAAAGTTGTGACAATGGTGGTGGGGTAAATTATTTGAGTGAAGAAAAAGAAAAAATTGGAGGCACTAAAACTTTGGTGTGTACTTGGTTAAGTTGACTGCAAGTCATCATTGACTATCCATTCGCGTTGCTCAAGTCGTCTCCGAAGAAACGAGGAAAGAGGTTGAATTGAAGACAATTGTCGTTTTCACTTTACCTTCTTGTTTGGTTTTACGACCTTGTGAGGACTTGTAGACTTTGACTTCTTCTTCTTTTTCGTTGTAATTACACGAAAATGACACGGAAATGCAGCAAAGAAACAGCACCATTGGCTGTTGCTACGTCGAATTGGCCCTCTACTCCACAATTGCAACACTAATTTGCCTTCAAAATCCATCAGATATTACAATGGAAATCATGACAGTGTCTTGTGATACATGTGGAAACTAAAATCACACTTCTGCCATGCTTTTCTACCAAATTGTGCAATTATAATAAACATTTAATTTAATGTTGGAGAATACTACTTTAGTGTGTGGCATATAAGTAATTATGATGACATGAGGTGGGCAAAGAAGTAGATAGTTCCTCTATAAGTAAGCTCCACTCTGCAATTGGAGGAAGTAAGCAGTGACAGAAACCACATATTTGCTTATTCCGCCAATGGCGGAAAATTCTTCAACTGAGCTGAACAAGTTTGTGTTTTTTTGTTTGTTGCTAATACAAGTTGCAGTTTCTGAAATCATATTTGAAGAACGCTTTGAGGGTATTGCTGCTTTCTTCTCTGTTCTTTTCTTATCACCTACCTTTTATTTATATATCTTTCAACCGTTACCACATGTGG